ATTTTTTCATGAATTATTGAGGCCTCTACATTTTTTAAATAATTCAATTTGGCCAAATTTTGCTTATTTGGCCAAAATTTCATGAAATTATAGAAAATTTCAAAATAAATTATTTTCATGCTATTTTCATCTTTCAAGCTTCAAACACTATCTTAGACCATTTATTCTATTTTTCATGAGCTTTTGAGAATTTTCAGGAATTTTGGGCATACTTTCTAATTTTGCCATTCGTTGACCAAAACTTTTCAAAATAACAGTCAAGTCCTTCCTTGGGTTTCGCTTCAAAAGTTATTCCATCTATACTTCTACTATACTATCTAGTCCTCACTCAATACTAAATTCCTTACTTTCTATTCCTCACTCAATACTAAATTCCTTACTTTCTATGTTAGAATTAATAAGATATGACACACTCACTATCTCAAATTGATTAATTTTTAGTGTATCCAAAGTTTTTTTTTTTAGTTAGCGAGTGTTACTTGGAAAATACTTCAAAGTGCTAGATCTACTAAAAATTAATTTATAATACTAGGTATTACAGGAAAAATACTTCAATATGTTGGATACAATAAAAATTAATTCATTTATAATATTGGGTGTTACTTGAAAAATACTTTATGATGTTGGATACAATAAAAATTAATTAATTTAGGATATTGATCTTACTGTAAAAATACTTTAGGGTGAAAAAATAATTAACTTATGATACCGAGTGCTATTAGAAAATACTTCAGGGTGGTGCATCGATGCACTAAAATTAATTAGTTAGGATACTGGAAAAATATTAATTAATTTAGGATACTAGATGGCACTAAAAAAATAGTTTTGGATACTTGATTCACTAAAAAATAATTAAGATACTGGGTGTTACTATAAAAATACTTCAAGATACTGAATGTATTAAAAATTAATTAATTAAGAATACTGAGTGTTACTAAGAAAAATATTTTAGGGTTCTAGATACAAATTAACCCAATTAAATAAAAAAGTAAAATTAATAGAAGTTATAAAAAATAAAAAAATAAGGAGGGAGTATCTCATCTCATCCCCAAATGACAACGTTTGGGGGATGATCATGTCGTATTCAAAGATTCGCTAAGCACAACGTGCAGACCTGAGAGATGAAATGAAGCAGTGAGTGCCATGGAGAGCTTCTGCTTGTCTTTTTCTCTTTAAGGGAGACTGAAACATAATTGTTTGAAAAGAGAATGGAGTTACACTTGAAGGAGGATGACTAAAATGCTAACTTAATGTTTATTTCACCTTATTTGGTCAAACGTTTGAATTAAACGATCATCTTTAATTAATTAAACAGCTGAAGTATTTTAGGGTTCTTTGGAATAATTATAGATATTTTTAGACCTAAAATTTATTTATAGTGTTAGGCACACATTGGATAAAAATTCACAGTATGTTTGCTCCTTTACTCATTTTTATTAGACTTTCTAAGCCATATTAGCGTCCACATCATCATTTTTGGTCAAACAAACAATCAACATCACAATAATTAACAGTTGTGGCATTTTTATGATGTACTGAGAAAATGTGTTGTTAATACTTGTCGTAATAGTTGCTAATTGTTATATTATAAGTTGTTAACAACTGCTCTTTCAGTTGTCAATACATACTTTAAAAAATAAGGGTAATTCGGTAATTAAACAAATAAAATCTTTTCCAATGAGATCCCTTGAAACTTCAGAATAATTTGATGATTTCGATAGACCTTTTTGTATTTAATTCTCTTGGGTGGAACCTTATTGTAATTTTTCCTAGAAAGAATAGTAGAAGATGATGCATTCGCAGATCGACTCAAATACAAAAAGAAACAATATTCTGCCTGTGTTTACCAGTCCATATTTTAGCAAAGTGATGAGTGATCGATCTAATTTTAATCGATAATACTAGAATAGAAGAAATCAAAAGTCGTTATGGGTAAACATGTGAACCGTAAAGCTTTGGAGTACTTGCATTATGCAATAATAAGAATAATAAGAAGAATAACAATAATAAGCATCTAACTTTCCAACTGGCACTTATACCTAATGTTTTAAAAACCGGACCAAATATTAAGTCCAAAATATTAGTGGGTCACAATTCAAATAGTCACACATATTAAATTAAAAACAATATTATACTCCCTCTAATATCATATATAAGAGAATTTAGGAATGATATTCAATCACTCCTTAAAAAATAATTTGCATATTTTTCATATACCCATTGTCTTTAATTAATTTTTTTATTTATATAATTTATTTATTTGTATCTTATAAAAAAAAGAATGAAAGAAAATATATAACAATACGTACATAAGAAATAGAGTGTTAAATAAATTTAAAATGACGAATACCAACACACAAAATCACAAAATAGCATATTAACAAGTACAAAACATAGATATAATTAAAAAATTAATAATTAAAATTTTAAATTCTTTTTATAATTCTTAACTTTAAAAATAGTCACAATATAATAATATAAATATTTATGATTATCTTTGTAATATAATAAATCTTTAATTTTTGTACGTACCAATATATAAATTTGCTTCCATAAGTAATTTAATTTTCTCGCATCAAAACTAAAAAGAGATATTTTGATGCATTAAAAGACCAGATCGTAATACTACCCCTGATGTTTAATATAAAAGTTAATTTGACCTTGAATTTGATTCTAGATATAAAACCCTAATTCACTTTGTTTCTCATACTTTTTTTTTAATTTTTTTAAAAATAATCATTGTAATAGTTGCACATGTTAAATATTTCATCAAATGATAGTTCTAGCTAATACATGATTAGCAAGAATATTTTAAAAAGACAGCACATAATTATTATAAATAACTAGCTTAAAAAACTTTAATTTACTTAAATTAGTTAGCTAGCTTTTATATTAAGAATCAGAGGTAGCATATTCCACATTCTACTGTATCTGGATTTTCAAAGCATTTTGGTTTTAAAAAATTCCAAATAACATTAAAAATTAATTATTTACCATTACACGTTATATCACATCCCCAAATTTCCCTCTACGTGTAGAGCACGTTTCTCCACTTCTAAGGCATCTTTTCTTTTCCCCGCTCCCCTGCCTGCCGTGGTCTTTATTTCTTCGTTTCAGGCTGTGCTCCAAGATCACCGATCCGTAAATAACGAAACAAAAAGTAATAATTAAATCATCCACAACAATTAATGTATTTTTTGAATTTTTGAAACAAAAATAGTCAATAGGTAAACAAAAGTAATAACCAAAATTTTAAAAATAAAAGTAGTCAATCACAATACTAGAGTAATCAGTAGCTAAACAAGGATAGTCATCGGAGTTCTAAAAGTAAATGTAGTCAATAACTAAAAAAGAGTAGTCAATACATAAAAAAGAGTAGTTAACGTAGCTTCGATGACTGATTGCCATGTCACCAAAACTCTGGTGGTTGGCCATCAGCAGGGTTGCCGACACCGGAGCTCCAGCAGTCAAAAGTGTTGAGGTGGCAATATAAAGAACAAAAGAAAAGAAAAAGTAAAAGACATTTGTGTAATTTTATAAGATTTAAAAATTCTAAAATGGTGTAAAAGGTCTGAATCAAAATTTTGAAATTCACCTGTACTGATTTATTCTTTAGTAATTTCTAAGTATTTAATTGTCTTTTTTCCTTAATGATTCTTCAAGAGTAGATTTGCATTTTAACCATGTGGCCACCCAATGATACCTTGGGCACGATAACTAGCGCACCGCACGTGCATCCTTGTTTTAATACGAGAGCATGTCCAAAAGCGAATTTTCTATTGTTGCAGAGATGATGATACTGAAGAATGTCACACCCATGGGCAAGTCTCGATGAATGAGCTTATCCCCGATACTAAAAGGTATTTCATTAGCAGAAACTCCATAAAGAAAAAGCAGAAATCCAACAAAACATGAGTGTGAAACTTAAACGACCTTTTTTCAAAATAAATAAATATATTTTTATTTTTGGATGGAAAGTAGAACAATTCGTATGTTTTAACGTCAATTTTAGCAAGTTTTACATGCAGAGGTGGGATCTACTCCTCTCTTATATCTCTCACTAACTCCATCCCGAAATCCTTCAAGTGATCTCTGCTCCAACATCGCTAAAATGAAAGGAAGAAGCCTAATGCATGAAAGAAAAGATACTATCTCCAGTGAAAAAAAAAAAGGTACTATATCTAGTCTTTAATATAAGACCTAATTTGTAGTTTAAATCTTATATTAAGGACTAGAAGTAATATTAGTTTTGCTAAAGTACCATTTTAATCATTTGCATTGAAAACTACTCCTTGGATGGAAAACACCTTTAAAATGCGTAATTAATAAGGAGTTTAAAACCAATAGCTCCGAGGCCTAGTGACATGAAAACCCCCCTATATTACCCTTTTAGAACTTGTTTGAAAAGACTTGTAAACAGTTTTTCAATCTTAATTTACAAAATATAAGATAAATATATGAGGAGAATTTTATCTCAATGTATGTGAAAATACCTATAAGCACTTAAAATAAGCATATGCAAGCTCTTAAAGATTTGAGATTAGGATGTTAATACATGGGGATTGGCAAATTAGGTTCTATCATGCCCACGGAGAGGCTCTTAGAATGGCTAACGCTTTGCTAAATTTGCTCATAGTATTAAGTTCTATCATGTCCACAGGAAATTTTTGTACTCTTGATCACCATCCACCTTTTATCCAAGAGGAGGATGGTGACGAAGAAGTTTAGGCTGGTCTTTTGTTGTATTCTCTGTTCTTAAGTTTATCAATGGTATCCAGGTTTTCATTAAAAAAAAAAAATTCCCCTATAAGTGGGAGGCCATGAGTCAATCCCACTTATAACCCCATACCATTAATATCTGCCCTTTAAATATAAAAAAATTATCAGTTTATATATAAATATATATATGTTGATCAGCACAAACAAGAGTTTCTACTGAGCGATGAGATGCAACCCGCTAAACCACTAAAAGATACCATTAATCATGTAGTAGTTTGAACTATGCAACACTAATTAATGTCTGTTATCTATAGACCATCATTATAAATTGCAATGAAACAGCCAGGCATCTTGATATATACAAATTATTACTCACCGGTTGGGGCTACCCTTATTTCATATATATATTTGCAAATCATGACATAAACCTGAATTTTATTATAATCTTCAATCAAACCACATGAGGAGGAAGAGTTATGCCTCTTGTTTCTGGTAATCCAATGAACAAGTTAGTTTCTACTTCTGAAGTTGGACTATTTTCTAAGGAGGCTGGATTTTCACAATGATTCTTCCCTCTTGCTTGCTTTGCCAAGCTATGATACTGCACAATGTAATCAATCTGTTTTCATTTTTTTCGTTCATAACTCATGAAATATGAAACCTTAATATCCAAAGTCAAAGAATGATTTCTCAGATAAAATGAATTACAGCATCACCTTGTCAGAGAGCCTTGCATTTTCTGCTGCTAATGTTTTTCCCTGGTTTGTTAAAAAACAAGCTAAGTCATCAGCATGTCTCTCTTGCTGGGAAATCTTTAAATGATCAGACTCTAAATTAATAAGCAAATCTTGATATGTGCTGGAGAGAGATTCATAAACAAAAGGGAGAATAAATATAAGATGCGTGTCATGCTGAAAAATATGCCTGACATGTTTAATTAACCTCTATCTACTCATTAATATCTTGATTTAAATTATCATTTACCAACAATATTCGCCAAAAAAAATTCTATGACTAGAAAAACACGGTTCAAGTGTTAAGGAAATTTTAGCTAGCTTACGTACAGTGTATAGAGTTTGCTATCTCCAATCCAACATGTGGGATTCATATATGCAGATTGAACCCTTACGATTGCATATGTCATGCTCATTTGGCAATAAAATATAAGAGCTAAATAACTCATTTACATAGATTATGAAAATAAATTAAGTTATATTATTTGTAAGAAATGTGTGTTGACTTTAATGAGATACCCCCTCCAGTTATTTGCATTGGAAACTACATATTGATGAAAACCCACTTTTAATATGTACAATTAATAAGGACGATTTGAAAAAAATTCATACATTTGGGAGACAACGTACATATCTGACATTTATTATCAAAGTAAAACTCTCAACTAGTGCCTACACTTAGGACTGAAGAGAGTATGTTACATCCAAGAATTCTATTAACTAAGACCTGACAGAATTATTTCTACAGCTTATTATCAGATTTGTATCAAGAGAAAACACATTTTGATTAGACTACCTTCTCACTTAAAATAGATACATTACCTTTTCTTGTAGTTGCTCCATTTGTTCGTTATAAACTTGAATCTGAAAGGCAGAAGGTTGAGGTTTAGGCAAAAATTGCAAAAGTCAGGTTTTGAAATTTTTGGAGTAAAAATTATGTAGCCATATTAAAAGCTAACCTTCCTCTCACGAACTTTTCTTGCACTCCTTTCCAGCTGCTGTTCTATCTCTTCTAGTTCTTTTACGGAGCATGAGCCAAAATTTTCTCCCAAGAGCTTCCTAAGAGATTGAAATCACAAAAGCAAAAAAATTTGCTTTGCTTTTACTATGACTGAAAATTTGTATGGAATTTATATATGCAAGTTCAAAAGTAGGACTTGAACCGTTTTGCAATTTCAAGCTGCTCAATCTTCTTCATCATAGTTGCAGTTTCTTGCTTTAGATGCTGCAAGGACATTTTCTTTCAAACATCATAATGGCAAGTCACTGCAAAAATTTTTGCCTTTGGCACCAATTAATTTAACAACAGTTTCTCAAATTTAATTATTGATGTACACTTGAAGCAACAAATGCCCGGCAACACTTAAAATCTATTACATATATAACCAACAAATAAATACAATTATAAAAACTAAAAAGAAGATGGAATCATTGGAAAATAATCTTAACTATGTTAATCATAGAGGACAAGTAGATATTTCAGGTGTAAATTATGGTTAATATGTAAATAATTATGATTTCCGAAATATTAGGCAGATTAGGAGGGGATTAGATTAAATTCAAATTATCCCTAATATCTCTCTTTGATATCTCATTTAATCTTCCAGATTCATCTCTTCTCCATATATTTGTAAAGTACACAAATCAATACACGCGAGTTAAACGATCTTTCTGGGGTATTCCTCTGGTCAGAAAGGGTATAAGGGCTATGATCCTATTTCTATGCATTTCTTTGGCAATCGCGATGTCACTTTTTCTTAGCGTGATCCATATTTTCCCAAGTCTGCAATTCAGGGGAGAATTGGAGCGAATTTTACCTTGTGAAAAAGGTACTTGAACCCACACCAACACCCCTTGAATCTGTTCCACCCGTTGAGTTTGTTCTACTCGTTGCACCTATTGAACTTGCTCCTTTTAACGTTGCACAAGCGCTAAAGGCAGGGGGAGATAAAAACCAGTAATAAATATCACAAGTTTTACTCATGAGCTGGATACAAAGACTATAGAGCTCAACATGCCCCGAGTCCTGACAGAGTCTGACCTGATGAAAGATCCTAAACCCACAGAGGTAGTAAATCAAGAGGATCTATCTATTGCCTTGAGGAAGAAGACCTACTCTTGTATCATGCATCTTATTCAAAAGTACGTATCATATGCCACTCTTTCTCATGATTATTGTGCTTTTGTTACTGATCTTGATAATATCAAAAGACCTAACAATGTGCATGAGGCACTTGAGTATCCCAAGTAGAAAAGGGCTGTGATAGAAGAAATGACAGCATCAGAAAAAATGGAACATAGGGCATGGTTGACCTAGTAAAAGAGAAGAAAACGGTAGGGTGCAAGTGGGTCTTAGCCCCAAAATACAATGGCAATGGCACATCCAACAAGCTCTAGGTATGTCTAGTTGCAAAGGGGTTCACTCAAACCTATGGGATCGACTACAATGAGACATTTGCCCCTGTGGCAAAGTTAAATACAAGTAGGGTTCTGCTATCCATCTTAGATTGGCCTCTACAACAACCTAGATATCAAAAATAGATTGGCCTCTACAACAACTAGATATCAAAAATGCTTTTCTAAACAGCAAGTTAAAAAAAGAGGTTCACATGACACTTCCTCGTAGCTTTGATAAAAGAAAGTAAAATCAAGTGTGTAAGTTGAAAAGATCTTTTTATGGCTTGAAGCAGTTACCTTATGCGTGGTTTGATAGGTTCTCCAGGGCTCTAAAAGTTGAGGGCTATAAGAAAAGTCTATCTGACCATATAATGTTTGTTAAGAAGACCAGAGCACTAACAACAATCCTTATTGTTTATGTAGACGACATTGTTCTTATAGGTGATGACATGAATGAGATAAACAGAATAAAAATTGCCTTGAATCAAGAGTTTGAGGCTAAGGATCTAGGCAAACTAAGGTATTTTCTTGGAATGGAAGTTGTGATGAGATCCTATTTTGTCATGGATTCTTACATCATTCTATGGATTTTATCATCATCATTGAGCCTAATTGAATGTTTTTAATCAGAATTTGTAAAGAGAGTAATTATGTGAATTAATGGATAAATAGACTGATTTAATTGCTCTTCTATGATTTTCGAAAATATTTCCCCAGCTATATGGCATTACATTGATCCGTGGTTTATCTATGTATGAGGGCAATTTTGTAATCTGTCAATGAGGGCAAAGAATTCCAGGGCGTGGTGGAATTTCAACTCCACTGGAAAGCAGATTCTATCAGTAATAGAATAAAGTTTCCTTCAGAAACAGAACAGCAATTCCATCGACCTTCAGCTTATTTCAAACTGGAAGCGGAGTGAAGGCGAGAACGAAGATTTGAAGGAATAAAGCTGCACATGAATTCACTTTCCGAGAAGAAATTGGAAGTATCACTGACTTGGAAACACAAGCTGGGGAGCTGAACCTGTTCCCTATAAATGGGGAAATTCTTAGGAAGCTGGGGGGTTCACTTCTGCTCACTCTTAACACCTCACATATAGCTCAAAGCTACGCTTTGCACTTCCTCATCAAGTAACCATGGCATTCCTTCCTTCTTCCGCATCAATCAATTGCGATTCCACCATGACCAGCTGAGATCCTATGTTCCTTAGTGATTCAGCGAGCCAGAGTCCTTGAGCTGAATGGAGTCATTAGATTAAAGTTCTGAATATTCTTCTTTCATTCAATCGTGGCTAGTTGTTTGGTTGTATGAATGTTTCTGCATTCTGGATTATTGTTTAATTCAGCAAGGCTTTAATCCTGTTAAGTTTGAATTTTTGTGATTCGGTTGCATTAACTTCAGTGGAAGAAATGCATTCTCTGTATGTTGAGTAAGATTGATCTAATAATCTCATTGCCATAGCAGTTCATTTTCAGATTCATTCAACTAAATCTAAGTGATTCACAGTTGTGCTTGCTAAAGAGAATCCGAACCTCCCCTCATTCATTATTTTCATCAATTATCTGTTTTACTAGTAGCTCTCTGATTTCCTACAATAGAACAGTGCATTTATTGTGATTAATCGTAGGCTTTGGAAAGATCTACTAGGTAGATCTTCTCTGAATAATTAACTCAAAAGTATTGACTCTTAATAGCGGACAATGAAGGCAAAGATGAATTGCTAGGTGAACAACTCTTCATCATTTGATTCTAATTCAATTACTAGCTCTTGTTTGCCAATTGTTTCTGTGATCATTAATTCCTTTGCAGTGATTAAATTCCAGAATTTAGAGGTTCTTTTCAGCTGAATTAATTTGCTAACTTAGTGATCAGCTAGGTAACAATATTTAGTGAGGCTTCTTGTGAGAATGACCTGAATTGAACTCAATGTGCTATACTAGAGTAATCTGGTTCGATTTCAGTTGGTTAAAGAGTCATTACGAACGGGCTTTTTCAAGTTGCACGGTCCAAAAGGGGAACTTATGTTTGTTAAAGGAAATATGTCCTTGATTTGTGTCACATCCAGTAATATGTTAATTAGGAATAAAGATATTCCTAAACATTTAAAGACCAAAAAGGATAATGAGAAATAGAAGAATTATGATAGAAAATAATTATTATGATTTTCTAAGTCAATTATGAAAGTTTGACTAATTAAGAAAAATTGATCAAAAATAATTATGAACAAATATTTTCAAGCCTCAGAAAATTAAGGAATAATAAGGGTAATGTTCCTTGAGAATTATATGAGGATGTATAATTGGTTTTATGACCAAATTGCTCTCAAAAAAATTACAAAGAAATTTAAGGTTGATTTAGGCTAATTTAAGGCCTTTTATTTGGAAAATTCCAAATAAATATTTAGAAGGAGAATAAAATCTCAAGAAAATTCTTATGATGTCCCAAGAAATTATAAGAGATCATGAAATTAAAAGAAGACTCTCAAATATTTAAGATTTTTTTCTAATTCTTTTGACAAGTAAAAAAATCAATAATGAGAAGAAAAATAGTTTTCTTTTTTATATAATTAATGGGAAATCCAGTTCGAGCTAAAAAGGATATTTTGGGAAGAGAAAAATAGGAGAATAAATTATGGATTTGACAGAAAATAATTATCGAGACTAGAGTACTGTAATTATACAAAAGAAATTAAATCTGAAGTAAAAATGCATCGATAAAGCAAGAAGTAGAGTCTTGCACTTTACTTGGCTCACAATTTGCTACTTGTCAAGTCATCAATGGAGATGATTTAAAGTTGCCAAGTGTCAAGTATTGATTAGATAGGATTTTGACTTTTGAAAAATTAATTACATTTGGATTTAAGTAATTAAAAGAGAGGTTTAAGATTAAGTAAGGAGGTGACACATGACATAACATTAAATGAAGGTTGTTGGGATATTTTAGCCTTAAATCAACACATTCACCCCCCCTTTCATGACTCCCTCATTTCGGCCAAAGGAGAGAAAGAAGAGCAAGAGGAGTTCTTGAAGAGTGATCAAGGAAAAACAAGCTACTTTGATCCACTAAGTTAAGATCCAAGATTAGTAAATTATTTCATAATAGTTCTTGGTTGTTTTCCTTGAAGTTTGATGGTTAAAATTTCCATTCTTGCCTCTTTCGGTTGCTGGCTGAAATGGTTAATGGTTAAGGAAAGAAAGTTTTGTTGTTAAACTTTGTTAGAACACCTTAGATCATGATTGTTTCAAGTGGTTTTAAGTAGTTATTGAAAAGATTTCTTGGTTGAGCCACTAGAGGTTCAGTTCGGCCAAAGTGAAAACTATACCCTAGGATGAGATTTTCAAAGTTTTAATACTTCCATTGTGTTCAAAATGAAAAATGGTCCAAGGTAAACCTAAAGAACAAACGTTAAAAGCATTAAAATCAAAGTTGTAATTTTTGGACAATGAACCCTAAAGTGTTCAGCCAGTTTGGTTTTTGAGGAAGGGGATTTCTTTTCTTAAATCAAAATACATATTTGGATTCTACATAAAAAACCATGTAGGAATGAACCAAGAAAGGATTTTTAGGATTAAAGAAATAAAGCTCAAAAATTAAAGAACATAGATTAAACCTTCAAGGGCTAAGGAATTACTTGAGTTTTGTTATTGATTTTTATATGGTTTGGTTGGTAATCTTGCTGCCCTTTTTATGGATTGTGATGTTAGGGTTTGATATTTGTGGAGGAGAAGAAGAGGATCAAAGAATCAAAAAGCTTTTGGATCAAAATAGTAAGATTTAATTAACTACTAATGTTACCCTTGTATTGTTTATTGTGCCATGATGCTT